GTAAGTCTCAACGAGCTCAAACCCAGACATCGGGTATGCGTGGTACCCGCGTGCGGGCCTGTGAAATTCTTTTTCCAGTAAGTTGCTAACTCAGGAGCCAGAAAAACTAGAAAGCTGAAATTTTAAGGAGGTGTTTCCTGCCAGTTTTGGCGCCAGTTTTAATTTGTTTAGCTAAAAACATTTTCCGAAAAAAACGATGCCGGTGGCGACAAAAACTGCGGAAAACTGTGCAAAAAACGCATCTTCGCACGGGCAGCCCGTGCTTTGGCCAATTATCTTATTCTTTCTACGCCTTTGTTTTCTGTCTTCTGAATATCCTTTCTTTGGTCGCATATGCATTTTTCGGAAGAACTAGAACAAATTTCAAAATTGGTATGAACTTCCTTCTCTATTATTGAGAGCTACGGGCCCAACCTTGTTCAAGTTTTTCCATTTTTATGCTTTTTGCATATATGCAAATTGCAAAAACGCATATTGGGAAGAGTCTGTTTGTGTACGTGTGTGTGTGCCTGCGTGCTCGCACTTTTGATACTTTCAACCCGAGAACCAGAAAAGCTAGAAGGCTGAAACTTTGGGATTATGTGGCCATATAATGCTCGACCCTCACGTTTTAATTTCATCCCTTGCGGACGCCTGGGTGCCGCGTACGGACGCTTTGAAAAAATATGCAAATTATTGACGGAAAAGCGATCTCGGGAACAACACGAGCTAAGGGGTTGAAACTTTGTAGGGATATTTCCCGTGCGTGTACTAGCTAAAGATTTCAAACTCAGCCCCCAGGTATGCGTGGTATTCATATAAGGGCATATGAAAAAAATTTTTTTAGGGGAAATAGCTAACTCGGTAACCAGAAAAACTGGAAAGCTGAAATTTTGGGGGAATATTCCCTGTCCACATACAAGTTAAGTGTTTCAAATTCAGCCTTGAGGCATGCGTGGTTCTTACGTACGGGTACTTAAAGGTTTTGGCAGAAAAATTTCTCACTGAACAACTAGGTTGCTTTTAATGAATGACTGTTAAATTGGAACTGTACATTCACTTTGCAAAATTTATGGTGATTTTGCTAGTGACCGCAAAGGTAGGTGTAAAGCAACAGCCATTCATGCAGCGTGAGTACTCATGACCTGGGCACTTCAAATCCGGTGCAAAAACGCATGATAGCACGGGCCCGTCCGGTGCGTTCTAGTCTGGGTTACTGTACTTGTGCTTGTGTAAACGGAAATTAGAAGTAAATTGACTTGGTGAATTGGTGCTTTTCCGGTGCCGGATGTTCTCGAAACACTTATTCTTTTGCAGAATTTGTGCAAGAATTAGAATAGAATACAATAATTACCTCCGACAACCACTGAGAAGACGGAAATTGTGTGAATAATATGGAAGCCGCAGCCCAGGGTGGAGAACAAAAGTTCAGTTGGGGGCGAACTGCAATAACATGGGAGGTGCAGCCTGGGCTGGACAGCACAAAAAAGAAGCAAATTTTGTCTAAAAGGACATTGTGCTTGAATCGCGCCGCAAAACTGGCTTATAGAGATTCACAAGCTGCAGTTCTGGAAAATGTTTTTTGCCAGAAACCAGTCTGTAGCAAAAGGTGAACAGAATAACTCGTTCAGATCCGGCAAATGCCACCGCACTGTTAAAGAGATATTATTGCTGTCGATTTCTTTGTCCAAATCTGTATAAAAAGGACTGTTTTAAAAGATTACCGAGCCTTTGGCAGCCACCGACACCATTTGCATCAACGCGATTGACATCAACCACACTGTCATCTTGGGGGAACAGCAGCGAGTTACTCAATAGACTGGAACCAATTCTTTCCTTCGTATGATTCTTGGCGGAAGCATAAGACGCTTTTTCGTTTCCATCCGCTCCGGTGGCACGCCGTTCTTTCAGCACCTAAATTCACAGGCATAAAATACATGCTCTTAACTAAAGACAGAGGTAAACCTTTTATAACAGCCAAACCAGTGCCGGGAGATTATGCTTTCCTATCAAGTCTGACTCAGCACTGGAAGGAGCATAGCTGGCTGCTACGCGAAGGGGCGGAGAAAAATCTACTCGTTTTGAATGAATCAATATATCATGACATTACCACATAGAACTGGAAAGGTGGCTTGAGCATACAGAGAGACAGGCGGTAAGCCTCATTTGCAATTTTATAGATATAGCCCTCATCACAAGCGCTCCTCGCCGAATGAAAGGGATGACGCATAAGCCTAAAGCCAAAATTCCGACAAACTGCCAAGCACAGACACTCCAGTTGATTCCGACATGGTATAATCCCCGATACTATTTTTCGTTTTATGTTAATTGGGTTTCCTCTCGATCTTTGGTTGAAGGCAGACGTGAAATTATTGATATTAATCGTAAAATATATTCAAAAGAAATGTGTAATTGCAAAATATAGAGAAGTTATAAATAAAGTATAAAAAAAAGGTACATATATATTTATATATATAAAATTATATTAAAAGGCTGGATGGCCTCTACTTCTGTGTTATAAAATGGAAAACTGGAAGAACGGCGTATCACAGGTTGTGATAGAAAATATTACAGCAAAGTTACCAAGAAGCAGTAGTCACTGTTGCACCACTGTCATACATACGTCTACTTATATGCGCCTTTTGCAAAATAACCGAAGTATCAAGCCCTCCAGGCGTCCGCTAAGGCATTTTTGCGCTTAAATTTGAAATAGTCAAATCATTAACAGCAATGATTGTTGTTTCAGTTTTAAAACGCGAACTCGTACTGGTAAATGTTGTGTACTTTTACTGCACAAAAGCGAAAAGACCATCAACTGGGTCGAAAATGTTGCATCGTGGAGCTGTGTAAAATCTGAACGATTACTATGAATTTTGCATAAAGATGTTGCCTTCAAGATGCACATTTGCCATATCCATACGTGAGACTTAGGCGCTGATAAAAGCTGATTTTAGTCTTTCAATAGCGCGCAAGGTACGCCAGCATTTACGTAAAATTTCTACTTTCTTCAATGTCTGACCACCGAAAGAAAAGGATGAAAAAGTATCATAGTTTGAGTGTTTGACCACCGAGAGAGAAAAATGAAGAACTATCTGACATTTCCGACATTTCCGTGTGTGACGAAAGGAAGGCAGA